TAACAGAAATATCTCCACATGCCAGCTGAACCAATGCCATGTGTTCACAAAAACAGTGATCTATTTCATTTTTCATACAAAATTGCAATTTTCCAGCCAAAGAAACCATTGTGGTAATTAAGATTACATTTCTGATTAGTGGCACGATAACAAACTTGAGAAAGTTGGGCATTTGCATATATTTGTGATAATAAAGAGGCCTGCATATAGCAAAGAAACGATCCAGAGCCATACACAATAGTAAAGTAGACTGAAAAGAACCAACATAATGAATACAAAACATCTGTATTAAACAGCCCACAAGTGAAATCCCATTCCAGTTAAATAAAAAGCTCAGCAACATGTGTGGCGCAAGAAATATTGGTAAAAAAAGGTCCATGCCAGCTTTTAGACCAATCAGTACACACATTGGAGAGTGTAGAGCTCTCTGAGATATAATTAAATATATGAGAACAGAGTTTGAGGTGGTAGACAATAAAAACATAAAGAAATAAGGAATGGACAAAAAAGGCCTCCATTCCCCCAAATCATGGAAACCACTGAATTTGAAATGTATGAATGAAAAATTTTGTGCAGGAAGATTTTGCATGCTGCCTTAGTGCATTTAGCACTTAAAAAGTATAGCAAATGGCAATAAAAATATAAGTCAAAAAACTGGCTCAGAAAACATGCTGGCTTATACATACATTATTAGTAGTAATTACAAAAGTTAGACATTAAAAACAGGTTTTCTGCTACTATTAGTAGTCTATTTGCCAACTACTGTAATACTAGAAAAACAGCAGTATAATCTGTTTATGTGTTGCGTTTGAAAATGTATTGTTCTAGCTTGATACAAATCTATTCCTATGTAAAGTGATCTATAGTTAATGTAACAGACAAACCTTGTGGAAAAAGCAATATTGCTGACTTTAGAGATGCATCATGCTCTTTAAATGAATATATATATATGATAAATACATATATTTGATAGCTATGAAATGAAGTAAATGGCTTGTGATCTTTGCCTTCTTAACATTTGACTTGAGCTCTGCATGTGCCCCTGTCTCTATATGCAATTTGTTCTGTTCTCTTGTGACTATGCTGTACTCCTACAGGATACTGACATGGTGGAGGAGTGGAAATACACAAGGCTTTTCTATCTGCTGCCTGTATTTCATCACGATAACTATTGGGCTGTCACGATCAAGAAATTTTAGCTTAAAGACTAATTCGCATATAAGCAATTGACATTAATATTTTGTCTTTTTGAAAGGCAATTAAATTAAGTACAAGCCTAAAATAGCCAGATTCCTGGCTCTAGCCACCAGCTGAAGACAGAAACAGCCTGAGCTCAAATAAACAAACATGACTCACTGCTGCACTCTAAAAGGTGTTATGAACAAACATCAAATAAACAAACATTACTCACTTTGCCCACTAAACATGTTAGAACACCAAGTCAGAAGTTAGTCAGCGATTAGTAGATGTACCATAAAATTGCCAGTGAGTTTAGGTACAAGGTATGTGTAGTGTCTCTTACTATCATGTATCATTTTACTTTTCTACTACAAAACACAACTGCTTTAACATGTCACAGACATGACTCAAAAATCAGAAATTGTGTGGCTTCAGTACATCCACTTCAAATTAGTAATGGGCTGTCAATGAGCTGATTAGTTGGATCAGGTTTGTTGGGAGCAGGAAAACACCACAAAGTGCAAAAAGGTTTGAGAAACACTGGACTAGACCAGACCTGATAGCTAAAGAGGAAGATATGTTCTCTGTTCTCAGAGTTCTCAACAAGTCAAGCATGTTTTCACATCATCCACTGAGAAGAAAAATGTGACCTTGTGTAAAACCTGGCTTCTGCTCCTCATCTAACGGAAGACTGGTAGTATTAGCTCATCTACTGATTTAACCCACAGTGACTAAAGGATTTCACTATTATGTTTTCCTTTTTTCATGTTTTAAATGTACTGCTCTGTCTGCTACAAAAATTTCCTATGTGTTACTAAATTTGTTGTCCCTTTCAGTCCATTGTACAGATAAGACAAAGTAATGTTCTAGCAATTCTCAAACTAAAAAATTACTCTCAATTAGGGCCATGTCGGTAACAGAGTTCTCTTATCAGTTATCCTTGTGGAAAATGACCCCATTAAATAGTTACAAAAGGGTTGGGGATGGGAGAGTATGACAGAAGTATAAGAAGTAACAAGAAGTATAAAAGAGAGAGAAAGACAAGAGTGGGCACAACTAATTGCATTCGTTTTGACTAGGAAGGTGCAACAGGTATAATTCGCCCTACCCAAGATAAAAGAAAAACTGCTTGAAGACTGGACAGCTAAGCCTCATACAAGATTCCTGGCACCGGCCTTTCAAATCGCTATTAAGGCCTCTGTGAGTTAGTTTTACTGTCTCGGCTTCCCTTCATTATGCATGATATAGTGATAATCAGAGACTCCATCAACTGACTTGATAAAAGACAGAAGAAGGGTTTCTACTCACTGCTTTCCCAGTGCTCAGATTCTGGATGTCACTGCACAAGTTCCTGCCATTCTGAACAATGCAAAGAGCGCCACAGCAGTCATTCTGTACTTTGGCGTGAACAACCTGAAACTTTGACAATCTGAAATCCAATAGACTTTTGTTGTTCGGTGGACACAGTGAGGAAGACATCACCAATTTCAAAGCCTCGCCAAACACATCGCTAATTTCAAACCCTCTTCCCACCTACAGACAAGGTAATAAATCTCTAAGCAGACTTTCAGCACTGAACTAGCTCCATGGTGCACAAAGCAAAGCTTTGGCTTTCTTGACAATTGGAAGTGCTTTTGCGAGAAGCAGCGTTTCTACTGTGCAAGTGGTCTGCACCCAAGCTGGACAAGTGTCGATGCAGTGATGGACTAAGTCACCATGTGCAGTAATCTCTTCCATTTTTACTGGTGTCCGTGTCAAAAAAAGACAGGGCTGCCCGGTTTAGGGAAAGCCAGTGGTAAGAGCCATTTTGAGGCACCGAGAATCCATGTTTCCTGTGTCATACTGGAACATCACTCCCTTGGTGGTGATGCTGGGTGGGACAGCTCACTGCTGAACAGCGTATTGTTCTGTGGGGTTATTGGTCACTCCTTTGCTGCTGATGACATGGCCCAAGAACTTGGCCTTCTGCTGGAGGAGGCTTCTCTTCTTAGGGTAGACGAAGACAATAGGGGTGGAGGTGAACTGGGGTCGCTGTGCCAGTGTCAATGCAGTGCTGGACTAAGTCATTGTGTGCAGTCTTCCATGTCCATGGTGAACACATCCAAGCAGCTATAGCCTCTGCCTTTCCTCTCAGCGAGCCCCTCACTTCTTCTCCACCACAGCTCTCATCAGGTAAGCTGTCTCCCTTGAATGCAGCACCACTCCTCCAGGCTGCACAGCCTGACTGGTAAGTGGGAAAACAGGATATCCTGCACCTGGGGCACTGTAGCCATTTCACTGAAAATCTAGAGACTGGCAGCAAATCTAGCTTGAAATTTGTGGGGCTCCTCAACATCAATGTTTCCAGCAGCTGATGACCTCTACTCAAAGGCCTTGTTCAGACTGGCAGCCCAAATCTGATCTTTGACATATCCAGATTGTATCTAGATTGATTTTAGCTATCCAGAATGATTTTTTGACCCTGGACAGCATAAAACACATGAAATATGCTTTTTAAAAATAGGATCCAAACCACATTTGGATTTGGCTTGAAATGCGATTCACTCTGATTTTTACAGATACATCTCAGTCTGCATGCTCTGGATGCTCAGATCAGATTTCAAAGCATATTTTGTGTCACTCACAACCAATAAACAACATCATCAAACCTAGAGTGACAGAAGTGCTGGGAATCAAGAAGAGCACCAAAGAGTAATGCTTATGCCAGGGATTTCTACTTGTATGCACTATGGAAGAGAAAAATAGTCCATATACTGATGCAGAAATAAATTGTCTGCTTGCACTTTAGGGGTGAGGCTTCTATACAAGTAAATCTGGAAGGAACCTAACAGAACAAGTCAATTTACCAAGAAAGGGGGGTCCAGAGGTTGTGATGCCTATGTCATTACCGCAGCAACCCATGCAGATAGGCTGGTGATGTCTGGACACACAGATTTGATCTGATCACTGGCAAATCACAAATGACTCAAAAGATCTGATCTGATAAACAGATCTGATTTGCCTGTAGTCTGAACATAGCCAAAGTGGCCAGACTCTGTCTTTGCTGGGTCTGTGAACATGGGCTTGTGAAACCAGTGGGACCCTGTGAAACCACAGCTATTCTGTATATCTAAACAATGTCAACTTGTTTGATTAAAATGCAGTGATAGTATTTCAAATATCGCGGCATATTGAATTATCAAATGCTTGTACCATCTAAAATGTGCACGCTTTGTCCTACATCCCCTGTGTAGACTACTGAAATCTTTTTCTTTCAAAGTATCAAGCTGCAACTCTTAGCCTGACAGTCTTTCTTTTACACTATGTTACTGAAGCAATACTGTTTACTTGAATAACATAATAATGGAAAACATTTTGTAAAGTACACGTTCAAATTACACAATTTACCTCAGATTTTAACCAGTATTTCAAGGAAAATCATTCTCATTTCACTTAGATAATTTTATTTTTCATCAAAATCAAAGTAATATTAAAATAGTCAAACCACAACAAACACAAAAACCCAAGAGTATGATTTAATTTGGATAATGTGTCTTTAAAAGATTATATGGCATAGAACATTTCCATGGTGACTGGTGATATCTATATTTTATTATTTATACTTTATACTATACTTATTTATACTTTATACTATACTTATTTTGACAACCGTAAATAATTTTCTGGGTATTTTGTCTGTTGTAAAATGCCCCTTTCTATTACAAAGACTTGTGTTAGTTAACACAGTTAGTTAGTTATTTCTAGGGGATCTCACAATAGTTGAATCTTCATGAATATTTTGCATACATAAATGATTGAAAAACATCTGCTTTATTATGGCATTATGGGCAAACCTTGATTTGGTTCATGAATTTCAGAAACTGTTCTCTAATTTCTTTTGTTCTTACGCCATAAATAATTGGGTTGAAACAGCTTGGAAAGAGTAAGTACATTGTACTCAGAAAAACACGAATGCTGGAAGAAAAATTATTTCTTATTCTGTAAGACATAAAAGCAATCAAAGCGAAGGTTATAGCAAATCCCATGACAATTGTATGTGTAACACAAGTGTTAATAGCCTTTAAGTGAGACTTCCCAGATTTTAACACAGATGCAAGTATTATTAAATAAGATACAGTAAAGAAAGCAACATCAGCAGTTGATATTAGAAAAGCAGCTGTCAGTCCTACTAAGTTGTTAACAGAAATATCTCCACATGCCAGCTGAACCAATGCCATGTGTTCACAAAAGCAGTGATCTATTTCATTTTTCATACAAAATTGCAATTTTCCAGCCAAAGAGACCATGGTGGTAATTAAGATTATATTTCTGATGACTGGGCCAATAACAAATTTGAAAAAGTTGGACATTTGCATATATTCATGATAATAAAGTGGCCTGCATATAGCAAAGAACCGATCCAGAGCCATCCACACCAGTAATGTAGATTGAAATGAACCAACACAATGAATACAGAACATTTGTATTAAACATCCCACAAGAGAAATCCCATTCCAGTTAAATAAAAAGCTAAGTAGCATATTTGGGACAAAAAATACTGGCAAGCACAGATCCACCACAGCCATCAGACCGATTAGTACAAACATAGGAGAGTGCAGAGCTCTCTGAGATATAATTAAATATATGAGAATGGAGTTTGATGAAGTAGATAATAAAAACATAAGGAAATAGGGGATAAACAGAAAAGGCCTCCATTCCCCCAACTCATGGAAACCATTGAACTTGAAAGCTATGAATGAAAAATTCTGTACAGGAAGATCTTGCATGCTGCTCAGTACACTTAAAAAAAAAAGAAAGAAAGCTTTACACATACATTTAACCAAACTACCAAATAAGATTTATAATCAATTGATATCAGTAACTACTAATGTTGATACTAATTTTCTAGATCTGTCAGTGCCACCTTATCTAATGCTGTAATAGTACGTTAAGAACAGTGTTCTGTTTACATGTTAGAGGTTTATTCTCTTTTCATGTTTGAAAATGCATGCCTCTAGCTTAATACAAATTTCATCTGTATGTGAAGTGATCGACAGTTAATGTTAGAGACAAATCTAAGCAAAAAAGAATCTTACTGATTTTACAGATGCATCATGCTCTTTAGTATGCGAAAATGTGATATCTATTAAATAAAGTCAATAGCTAGTCAACAGTCAAAGCAAGCTGTATGACAGAAAACCACCTCTAGCACTTTCAGCGTCTCATAATGATACACTTCATATCAAAACAGAATGCAAAAAGTACACATACTCTGTGTAAAGACAATAAAAAAGTATATGTTGCTCCCTTTAGAGATTACAAACCAAGAAACCTCTCCTGTGTTACAGCTGCTTGTTATGCACCATCTTTGCCTTCCTAACACTTTAATAAAATCTGACATTTGTCCCCGTCTTTATACACAACTCTGTGTTCTCATGAGACTATGCCATAAGCCTACAGGACAATGACATGAAAAAGCCCTGTGTATCTCCAGTCTACCCTGTCTCCCACCTGTAAATCATCACCATAACAGCTGTTCTCTATCTATTATACACAGAAAGTTAAAGGATAAGTTTGATACTTTTAATCAAACATTTTTTTTTTTTTATCATGCCAATGGCAAGCTGTCAGTTATTACTGAAAGAAAAAAAAAACAAGAACACAGAATCTGCAAAGCAGACTCACAATATAGGTTATTTTTGGATACAAATAAATAAATGAATAAAAACCTAAAATGTTAAAAGAATTGAGCAGGAGCACATTATTTAGTTATTGGACATACAAGGCCTAAAGGATTACAAGTAGGTTTTTAAACATAACAAACAGTTATCTTTTTAGTTTGATCATGGTGTATTATCATTCAACAGAACATTTGGAAATGGTTTCCTGAAAAATGCACCCTAGAAATGCTATTTGTAACAAAAAAGGAACATTTCTTGTTCTATCACAGTGTGTGCATTTAAGGCCTGGTCAATTCTTTAAGAACATTTCAGGTTTTGGTTCATTTATTCATTTCAAAGAACCCCTAGTCTGTTCTTTTTCTGACTGACTCCAGAAAACAGCATTATCAGCTACCAAGTATGCCTCCCAAAATGTCTCGAAATCTCTGATTTTCACAAATCAACTTCCACCCAGAGACAGCATACAGTTAGCAGACTGGCTATCTAATCCTAGCTTAATAGGTATTGTGCTCTTTTCACTATTTCCTTCTCAAATTGCTGTTTTATATTCACATGGCTGCTATTAAACTTAAAAGCTGTTGCATATATTTTTTTATATGTTTTTAGTGCCTGTCAGTTAGCTACTTTCAGTTGTCCATTCACTCTGTTTACACGTATAAAATAAGATTTTGTGGCAGTTTTGGAGGTTTACAGCTGTATAAGGCTGTGATACAGGAAATCTAGTCTAATACAGAAATAGAGTCAACTCAGTACTCACTCAGGATGAACAGACTGTGATTGCTGATACACAGAAAAACAAAGCACTAAAACAGTTTTCCAACAAGTTATTTACTCTTGTGTATTTTCCTTTGTGTTTTCAATACTCTTTCCATCCCTGGCTAGGACACAGTAATGCTTGTGGCTAAAGCTAAAACACACAAACAGATCCCACGCTAAGGCAAGGACAAAGTAAAATAACTTGCCAATGACAAAAAGCCACAACAAATGTACAACCCCAGTTCCAAAAAAGTTGTGATAGTGTCTCGAGCCCAGTAAAGTTGGCAGCGTTCCACTGTGCATAGTACAGTCTTTACTTGCATTTGTGGATGCAGTGATGGACGGTGTCTACTGACAACAATTTTTCAAAGCATTCCCAAGCCTATGCAGTGATATCGATCAGGGAAGCATGCCAGTTTTTAATGCAGTGCCATCTGAGTGGTAGATGGGTAGGGGTAGGGGCCATTTAGTGTTTCGGCCTTGCCTTTCATGTACAGAGATTTCTCTGGATTACTCCAATCCTTTGATGATATTATGCACTGTAGAGGGTGAAATACCTAAAATCCTTGCAATCATTCGCTGAGGAAAGTTAGTTTTTTTTATTTTATTTTTTTTTTGGCGAGCCTTAATTATCTTCGCTGGGATTGGGCTTTCCTGGATGCTTCTTCTATATCCAAGCATAATTGCATCTCCTGTTTAAGATGGTTTTTGAATATTTTCATAGACTTAAATTGCCATAACTTGTCACAACTTTTTTGGAATGTGCTGCAGGCATTAATTTCAGAATTAGCATATATTTATAAAAACATAAAAAAAAATTAATCCATTAAAGGTCAAAGTAGATTTTAAATTAGTGCTTCCTGTTTTTATTTGCATTTTGCCTACTATCAAAACTTCTGTGGAAATGGGTTTAAATTTGTAACTATTAGCTCAAGTAACATGACAGGAAGTTGTGATCCTTGAAAGCAGGTTAAGGACAATCTAGAGAAGGATCATCTCTGGACTCAAGGCTGGTATCTGACTCTCAAACAACAGACATAGATTTGTCTGCCAAGGCGGCCGTCTAGCCTCTGTCCCTTGGAGCGGGAGCCCAATGGGATAGACTTTGTGCTAAACCAAGGCTAATTTTAGTCTCTACCTCCCGGGAGGCTATGACAGAGCACTGGTCAGTCATCCAAACAAACAAAAAAGAAAACTCTATAACAAGCAGAATAACAAGCAGCACCCCATACAGCAACAGGCCTTTGAACTTAGAAACAGGCTCCAGCCTATGCCAATGCCAAATTCTCCATGACCTTGTCAGGATACAGTCCTCCACAGTCTCACTAATCCTAGCACACAGACCCTCAGAGTACCTCACTGGGGAACAGCGATAAGCAGCCCAGTTACACTACCCGCCAAGTTTTACAGCCAGCTAGCCATAAACACCAACAGTGCACGCAGCATTACATACAGCGCCCTGCAGCCTTTCGGCCTTAGCAGTTGCCAAGGCTACTCATGAAAGTGTTTCACCAGACACCAAAACTCTGCTCATAAGGGGCTCAATAATTAGAAGTGTAAGAAACAAAATGATACAAACCTTTTGCTTCCCTACCACTGACTCTGGATCAATTGCAAAAATACCACAAATTCTGAAACTGCTGTCGAATGCATCATCCATGTAGGTACTGATCAGACACATCAGGCACTTATATTCTATACATCTATACATGCACTATATGAAATATCAACATTACTGACATCTTCAATTTGTTTAGAGAACAGAGACCTCTGTGTAGGCCAAATGGACTTTACTCTAACAATGCCGGATTGGAAATTCTAACAGTAAAACTGCTATATGACATTTCTCCAAACCTCTGCCAGCAAAGGTATGGATAAGCAGCAAACCTCTCAGTCTCTTCTCAGATGGTTTGTGCATAAACTGAGAAATAAGACAGAGGAAAAAAACAAACTTCTTGCCATGCTTGACAGTAGACATTACTGACTAAAATCCTACAGCCCATCGTTTCCTGTCCACAATACTATGTTGCCCAAAAACACTAGTTTTCATTTCTCTATTTAGTATAGAGAAGATTTATCTTTTGTAAGCCACACAATTTGTAGCCTAAAATAAATTTCACTTGCAAAAGCCATTACATTTAATAGTTATTGCTAATACGTGAGCGCATGTGCAACAGATGTAAAATTTGCACGTTGTACAGCTAGTGTAAGGAAAAGAAACTCTGACTCCTCTGTGCTTAGCGTAGCTTAGCTTTTTATAGCGCACTCTCCAATATCCTATTGCTTGGCAATATAACTGGGATAATACTTTCCAGTTAAACGACTGAACACCATCAATCTTAATAATCCCTTCCAGTCTGGGTATCAGGCCTCTAAAAACACTGAGACAGCAAACTTGTTACAGTTGTCAAATGATCTGAGAACAATCAGGGACTACGAGATTTTACTTGACCAACTACAGGACTGGTTAGGCCTCTCTGGCTCAGATTCTAGTGGCTGTAACTGTTATGCTGCACTGGATACGTCTCAGAGGCATGCGGTAGCTCGGGGTGTCTGACAAGACTCAATCCCAGGACCTACAATATTTAATACAAGCATGATCCCCCTGGGTGGCATATTATTATATATAACATTTACTTTAGTCTGTATGAGGTGACCAATAATATAGGCAATATTTTTCCATTCCTATGTAAGGTGCCCCAGTGACACATTCTCATTAGATCACTCAGGTTCAGACAATCTGCTATTCAGCCCATAAACCAAACAATAAAAAGAAGAATCAGCTTTTAATTTATATGGTCCTAAATTCTAGATTATCCTACCTGAAAGCCTGCAAACAATCGATACTACTAGTGCTTTTAAAAAGTATCTGAAAACATGCTTAATGAAAACTGATTTTATGTGAAATCTGTGCTTTTTGCATTGTCTTTTTATATTCATTTATCTTCTTTAAGATTTGATTATCTCAGAATGTTAAAACATTGTTTTTGTATCATTTCAAAGTAAAATCTAATTACAGCTGCCACTCATCACTTATTGTTTATTTCATTTTTAATTTTATTTAATTTCTTTTGTTACAGCTGCGATACACGGAGTCAAAGGCAATTTTATATGATCGTCCTCATTTATGGTGCTGCTGTTTTGTTTAATATTCTTGTTTTATTTTGATTTTTATTATTTATTATTATTTACCTTTATTTTCATTTATCATCTTGTTTTAAGCACTTTGTCAATTTTTAAAAAAAAAGCTACATGTTTCTATATTTTTCTTATTTGTAATAATAATAATAATAATAATAATAATAATAATAATAATAAAGTTGGAATCACATTTGTAAAAACTTCATGCGCTCTGGGGCAGACACTTGATAGCAGGCTCTTTGTCAATGGGCTAATGCAGAATGAAGCTAGACAGCTATGTTTATTGTTGGAAACTGGAAGGTCTTATTACATTCAAATTCTATTTTTGCTAAATTTCTATAAATTACTGTTACGGTGAAGAGCATGGATTACTCGACAGCAGAAATCTCATATCAGATAAGGCGGATGATCAGCTAAAAGACTAGCTAGCTACCCTGTTACCCAGATATATCAGTTTGGTTCACTTTCATTGGCTGAAAACCTCTTTGGGGTCCAGGGCTAGACGGAAACACTGTTTTCGTTACAATTAGCTTTGGTGGATACCCAAACAATTCAGCTTTCAAATCTCCCCAGTTCAAAATGTTCAATGAATACTTATTAATTGATACTTTTCCTGCAGGGTTATTAATGTTCTGTCTAATAGCTGCTAACCACGTGTTACAGAGCTCAACAAAAGTTTTTTTGGGGGGGAGAGAGTGAAAAACAACACCTAAACAGCAGACACCAGAGTGAATTGAAACAACTGGGGAAGGTTGCATTCCTGCTTAGATGAACAATCGGACACTGATCTGTCATATGTGAATTGGCTTTGTTCAACATTATGCCGTCCAACCACTTTAGCTTAGTATTCACCTCCGGGTTTTCTCCATACCCGATTGTGCTGCCCTGAGCAGATATTGTTTAACTTAACTGTCTTTCATATAGGAAAAAGTTTGTTCCATGGCTCTTTGAGATTTAGTGCTATAGCACTAATATTATCTCAGAGCACAAGTGCACTGATCAACCTATAGATCAGTAGCTTGGCTAGCAATGAGGATTAACTGTTCACAGAGCATTCCAATGGTTGTAGGACATTTGCATAATTAAAGCTGGGTATTGAAGTGACAGAACACTGAGGGATGACAATAATACAAATTGAGAATTCTGTCAAACAGACACAGTGCTGTGCTGCAGAATACTATATAACAGAACAGAGTATTACTTTCATGCCAGAATGCTCCATAGGATTTTAGATGGATTATATATTTTTAAAGGTTATGGCTACTGACAATTTCTGTAGTTATACCATCTATGTTATGGTACATTTTTTAATTTGTATTGATGAAAGTTAATGATTTTCTTCCAGGAATATGGTAGCCAGGCAGTGTAATAGAACGTAGATACAACACTCTCCAAAGATGTGCGTTGGTTAATATACATAAGATTCCATAGCAGGAACACATAAGATTTTAAGGTGTGCCAATAACTGTGATGTACATTTTTTTAAGAAATATTTTAAGAAATATTTATTTCTTACTGAAGAACTTTGCACTCGTTGAAAATAATGTGCCATGACCAAACGTTTATATTGTTGAAAACCCATTAAATAAATAAATATTAAAGTGCTTACATAACAGTGCTTCAAACTGCATTATTATAGAACTGTAGTAAAACATTTACTTGGTTCATGAATTTCAGAAACTGTTCTCTAATTTCTTTTGTTCTTACTCCATAAATAATTGGGTTGAAACAGCTTGGAAAAAGTAAGTACATTGTACTCAGAAAAACACGAACACTGGGTGAGAAATTATTCCTTATCCTGTAGGACAAAAAGGCAATCAAAGCAAAAGTTAAAGTAAATGTCATGACAATTATATGAGTAATGCAGGTGTTAACAGCCTTCAAGTGAGACTTTCTAGACTTTAGGACAGATGCAAGTATTATTATATAAGACAGAGTAATGAAAAGAAAATCTGCAGTTGGGATTAGAAAAGTAGCTACAAGCCCTATTAGGTTGTTGATAGAAATGTCTCCACATGCCAGCTGGACCAAAGCCATATGCTCACAAAAACAGTGATCTATCTCATCTGTTGCACAGAAAGATAGTTTTCCGGCTGAAGAGACAATCATAACAATTAGGATTATATTCCTGATCACTGGCACAATAATAAACTTTAGAAAGTTGTGCATTTGCATATATTTGTGATAATAAAGAGGTCTGCATATAGCAAAGAAACGATCCAAAGCCATCCACACCAGTAGAGTAGACTGAAATGTGCCAACATAAAGAAGGCAAAACATCTGTATCAAACAGCCCACAAGTGAAATTTCATTCCAGTTAAATAAAAAGCTGAGCAGCATGTTTGGTACAAAAAATACTGGCAAGCACAGGTCCACCACAGCCATCAGACCGATTAGTACACACATCGGAGAGTGCAGAGCTCTCTTAGATATAATTAAATAAATGAGAACAGAGTTTGAGGTGGTAGACAATAAAAACATAAGAAAATAGGGAATAAACAGAAGAGGCCTCCATTCTCCCAAATCATGGAAACCACTGAGTTTGAAAGCTTTGAATGAAAAATTCTGTACAGGAAGATCTTGCATACTGTTCAATACCTTGGAACATTTAGCATTTCCATTAAAAATATGTCTCAAAAACTGAATTAATAAACAGAACTAAACTAAATGTAATTTACTGGTATCAGTATTATTTACAATTCTTATATACAATTCATCATTCTAGATGAACATATATTCCCTATGTAGGCAGTGATATATAGTCAGTGTTGCTCAGGCACCTAGGGAAAAGTAGAATGTTACTGGCAAATCAAGCTTTTAGAATGCCTTTTAGAAAAACGTAAATGGGAAGTAGTTCAGTAGACTTGCAAAGCTGCCTGAGAGGAAAACATCTCCAGCATCTCTAGCAGTCACACACACTGTACATAGAACAATGAAGACAACACATATTCTGTTTGGAACATTGATAAATGAAAATCTTTTAATCCCCGCTGTGGTACGGCTTACCACATATCCTCTCTGTCTTCCCAACCCTTGACATATGTCCCTGGCTCTATATACAACTTGTTATGCTCTCATGAGACTATTCCCTCTTCCTACAGGCTTTCAGGCATAGAGATGGGAAAGCCTGGTTATGTACTGTGATCTACTGTTATCTCCTCTACACATCCTGCAATTCATTACCATAATAGCTGTGCTCTCCACTGTAAAGGTTCTCTAACCAAAATGAGTTTATAATATGTTTGGAAGTTTTGATCTATTCACACTGTAATGGCAAGTTGTTTATCATCCCACATACTATTCTGATGATTGAGACTATTTAGAAATTTTCTTCAAGAATACGGAGTCTCACAATAGAGGTCAATTTGTATACCATGCATAAAGATTCAATACAGAAAGTATGCAGTATATAAAAAAGTTTCCAGTTAATTGTGTAAATTAGTATGTGTATTAAATGCTTTTTACTCTATCAAAAAAAGAAACTCATATTCAATCTCCAACAACTAAAACGCTCTGACCTGAAGTTTAGTGTTGTCCTTCAGTCACAGAAATCACTAAGTAGAAGTAGATACTAGGTTTTCTTTGTTACATTTAGTTATGTAAATTTACTAATACATTTTACTTGTATAAGTTATTTAAATGGAGGATACATTCACTCTTACCTTAATAAGGTAAATATATTTTATAATTTGTAATGCTAAAACGTAGGTTTAAGTCAGCACATACAACAAAGTACAAAAATAAAAGACTCCATAATCTGTACTAATATTCAACCACAAGTCAAAATTCATGTTTCTGTTTAAAACTCTAACCAAATTGAAAAACAGGGGTTTCCAACCTTTTTAACAATTCAGACAGAACCGCAGCCCACAATGTTTTTTCTTTGTTACAGACCGCATTCTTCCAAATGACCCACTGCCTGATATCGGTCTACAGCACGATTATTAGGAAACTTTAATATAAAAAAAATATTTATGTCCTTAAGATGATAATTCAAACATAATGAGATAAAGAGAATGAGGGACACTAGTATCCTGTTTTCCAAGAACACCAGTACTAAAATACTACAAAAACTCAACAAAACTAATGTGAACTATTCATTATCTAAGTGCCCCCAAAAGGCAGAGAGAACATCGTGTACAAAAAAATACTGTTGTCACTTATTCTAGGCATGAGAAAGCATTATGATATTAAACTGACCATTTTGATGTTAAACTGACACAAATCTCTGTGTCTTCATGGCTGCTGCTGACCTGAAGTTAAATATATCTAAAGCTTCTTGGATGTACAATCCAAATTCCAAAAGATCTTGTACAATATGTGAAATGCTAATAAAAATAACAGTAATTAAAAAATCCGTTTGGCCTGTATTACTTATTGAAAATGATACAAAAACACTCTATTTTATATTTTACAATATTTTATGTTTATATATACCTTCCAAATTTAATGCCTGCAACACATTCCAAAAAAGTTAACACAGGAGCATGTTCACCACTGTTACAACACCTTTTCTTTAACACGCTTCATCATCTTTTGAGGAATGAAGACACCAAGTGATCCAGTTTTGAAAGAGTAACTTTTTGCCATTCATCTGATACATACGTCTTTAGTTGTGTAGCCATTACAAGGCTTTTGTTGCTGTATTTTGAGCTTAACAAGACATACATTTTCAGTGAGAGACAGTTCAGTCCTGCACCTGCACTCACTGGTTATGCAGCCATGTTGTTGTAATATGTGGAATGTGGCTTGGTGTTTTTGAAATAAGCACAGACCTCCCTGAAAAAGGAGCAGCATATGTGGCTCCAAAATGTGTTGTGTTAATGACACCTTCACAGATGTACAGGTTACCCACTATTACTCACCAATTCCAGACAGACACTGATTTTTGAAATTTATGCCAGTAACAATCTGGAAGGTTCATTTCTTCTTTGGCCCAGAGAACACGACGTCCACTATTTCCATAAACATTGTGAAAAGTTGACTCATAAGACCACAAAACATGATACCACTGTGCGCCAGTCCATTTCAGATGAGCTTTAGTCCAGAAAAGTCAGCAGCATTTCTGGACGTTGTTGACATATGACTTCCTCTGTGCATAGTGAAGTCTTAACTTATATTTGTGGATGCAGCAAAAAATAGTGTTTATTGACTGCTGTTTTTTCACGTATTTCCGAGCCCATGTGGTGATCTCCATCACAGAAACAAGCCGGAGTTGAATGCATTGCTGTGTGAGTGACTGAAGGTTATTTGTGGTTCCCTTTCAGTCGATTCACTCTGCACAGCACACACTGAATGGGATAACAAGGCCTTGGCATGTCTGGCTGAAGAAACCTTTAATCACATGTGCGGTGATGCATAGTGATGCCAGTGTCTCCCTTCAGCTTACCTCACTCCATCTCACAATCAAGGAGTTGCAGGACCAGCCATGCTTCCTTTTAAGCATTGCCGCTTTTCCTTTTATTGTGTGCAGGCAGGCACAACAACAGCTATGAGTTCAGTCATCTTCCTCCAGACATACATGGTGATGGGTCTGGCTGGACTCGCTGACCTGGGATATGGCATCAACCATTGTGGCTGACGCTGTCAGATATGCCACACAGAGACCAGGTGACCTATCTAGACGAGCCAGTCTCCTCAGTGGAACTGTCTGGCTGGTCACTTAAAGTCATCTAGGCCAAATCTGAGTCAAAAAAAAGGCAGACCGCAGCCCTCTCCACATGCAAGTGCATACAAGGCTGCCATGCCACTTCCACCCAGAAAGAGGTCTGCTGCAATGGCTTCTCCGGTGGAATCCCCCTCTCAAGCAGCAGCCACCTAAGCAAACCAGACGCTAATGACGAGGGCTTATTAGTAGGGGGCAAGTCCCACTTTCCCTCATCTCTATGCATCAACTGCCTTGCATGCGTGTTTACAGGTGTCTTCAGTCAGACACACAAGGGCATTATCCCATACAGTAAGGGTTGTACCTTGCTTCTGTTTCAGGAAACAAGGGTTTTATGCATGACTGTACATTTTCTGCCTTTTCCCTTGTGCACAGAGATTTCCCTGAATTCCCCTGGCTGAGGAATGTTATGTTTAAGCAGTTGGATTTTTAGCACATGCATTTTTGGCAAAGCTGCGAGCCTCAACCAGATTTTTAAAAAAAAATCTCTTTTCTAGACAGACATAAGACTGTTTTTCCAGTACAGAGGGATGGCAAGGCACCTATAAGTGATCCTATATGCTTGATAACATCTGTATATTCCCCCCTTAAAATGACATGATGCTTTGTGTTATTAAGTATGAAAACAAAAAGGTAAGTTAAGAAGTACAACATTACTTTGTCTTGCATGGTGTTAAATTTGTAATGCTAAAACGTAGGTTTTGTACGGCTAGGTGCCATTTTTCAAATGGTTATGTAAACACCATACTCCGATCTAGAAATCCAATTAAGAAATTTAATAAAGAGAGCTGGATTTTAGCTCAGTAATCAGATTTCCACTCTTACCTGGATACCAAGATCAAGTTCAAGAACTTTTTTCGGATTTCTCAGTCTGCGCATGTGCGGAACAGACTGCTGTACCAGAAATAAGCAAGCAGTGCTGTCATGAGATGGCATGGTAGTCCATCTGTTTCTCTGCACACTTTGTTAGCCCCGTTTCACCCTTTTCTTCAATGGTCAGGACCCCCATGGACCTTCACAGAGCAGGTATTATTTTTGTGGAGGATCATTCTCAGCCCTGCAGTGACACTGACTTGGTGCTGGTGTGTTAGTGTGTGTTACGCTGGTACAAGTGGATCAGAGACTGCAGTGCTGCCAGTCAGTGTATATACTCCATATACTGCAGTTTTTGCTTTTTTTCTGAACGCTGGAAAAAACAGTGTGCATCTGTTAAGTACAGAAATAACTGTTGACCACTGCCTGTGCTTTTTGTGATTACAATTTGTGATTACCACAAAGAAAATGCATTCCTCTTTCTCATCCCTATCCTCTGACCAGCATTCCAGTGTGAACAACACCTATAATACATCCCTAACATTTATTTACTTAGTGTCATTCTGTACACCGGGTATGTTGTTTTATTGCAACATCTTTGATATATTAAAGGTGCAGTGACGTTGCAGATTGCAACCAACTGAATATTCCTCTTTCACCCCTCCCTTTCCAAGCATGTAGTAGAACTTATGGTGGCCGTCAAGTTTTCTGCTGACACCTGTCTCGATTTTATTTTGCTTCTTTGATGACAAAGATTCATGCTCCCTTGCTTTTTTCTTGTGCTAAATCACAAGTATGATCCTCCATTTGTCAACATTTGGCTTCTCAAACTTCTCAACACAAAATGGTTCTTCTACATCTTCCAGAGCTACAGCACCAACGTAAATACACAAAAGGCACTTTCTAGAGCCAGTGTTTGCTTTGTCTGCTTTGGGTTAGTGTGGAAACATAGCGGTGCAACATGACAGCCTCTGTTGGAAGAGGACTGAAGATATGAGGTTTTGGAAAGTGAATTGTGCCCTTTTTTCCATGAGTCCCTGCCCCATAACATATCTGTGCATGGGCCCATATTATTTTACATTACTGTGCCATAAGTTTAAATGTAAAGACAATC